TTCCTTTCCTTCCTCCTCTCCTCCTCCTCTCTCTCTCTCTCTCTCTCTCTCTCTTGTTCTCGTCGCGGTTGTTCTCTCGTCGTTCGGAGTACACGGATTACGCGCGCACGTACACGCGTCCCGAATTTCGAATGCAAGGAACGTCGGGCATGCCCTTGGCAAGATTAATCGCCACTACTTTATGGTCAGTTGGCCGCGAGCCCGACTAGAAAAGAGAAAGAGAGAACGAGCCGCGCGCGACGTGCATCGCGCCGTACCGTTTCGAAAAATGACGGGAAAGAGGCACAGTAACAGATGACAGATCGTTACCGTTGCATCCTGACTCGACGATCGGACGTCGCGATGAACCGCGAGGACGTCGCCGACGCCAGCGGCCATCGCGTCACTCGAGAGAATTGTCACTGCGTGCCGTGACTACAAATGAAGATGAAAATCAAAGCGCAGAGAGAGTTTCTCTTTTAATTTTTATACGTTCCGACTTCTTTAGTATTGTCCTTTTTTTTTGAAGATCGTTTTGTTTCAATTGGAAAGTTTGAGCTTTCATGTAAAATATCTGTCAGTTTGTGCTATTTTATATGTTTTTATATTTTCTAATTTTTTTTTTTTTTTTCTTAAAACTTCTTGGCCAATTTTCAGGTTTAATATATTAAATCGTGTAGTACGTTATTATAAGTAAAAGAGCTGTATGTCTGCGGAAGCTAAATTGTCTAGTGGTAACGTGGTAACGCGTGTCTACCGACGTCGGAAATTAATTCATCATTTAGCCTAACGAAGGGAATAACTAGTTGTAGCGGATGAGGTGGACGCGCGTAATAATGCGATGTCAGATAAGACGAGGACGAGCGATGAGCACGTTGTCGGCTCGGAAATCGTTCTTCCGATTCTTTTTTTTCACGCACCTGGCACGACATTTGCAGGCGACATCATGTCCCGCTGTTATTTCTACTACAACGTAAAAGCGATAGATAAAAAAGCTTTTGCCGTGTTTTCGCTTTTTTTTTTAATCTTGTTCTCATTATGTACACTGATAGAAAACTTAAAACTTTTATGTATGTAGAATAGAAAGAATTCAGAATCCTTAAAAATTTCTGTAAAATTTTCTCCTTTATTATATTATCGACTTCAACTCATATGTCACTCGCGTCAGTTTTTCGAAACACTTCCGCGAAATGTCTTGCAATAGGAGAAAATGTATATTATAGCTCATGAATGTGTAAACAATAATCAGAAAATTAATAAACGATTTAAACATAATATAAGTAGCACATGAAAAAAATATGATAACGTTTTGAGCCGCACGGAGCCTTTCTCAACAAAAAAATTTTTTACAAAGAAATTGAATAGCGTATAAAAATGTTATATTGAACAGAAAATAAAAGGTTGACACGAATAAAAGAGACGTTATTGCTCGCAATAAAAGAATTCACAAAGATTCACAAAAAAATTATATCGCAGAGACAGACACATCGTAGTTAAAAATAATTTAAATAAGATCATATAGAGTTCTTTGCCGAGAATTCATCTATATATAACCAGGAGGAAATAATGGAGAGAAACCAATTTTGTAACATTTTTACATAGTTGATTGCATAGTCTGATTTTTCTTGATAAAAATATGAAATTCCAACCATTTCCGCAAAACCATTCATCGTTTGACGGCGAGAATAAATTTGAGTCAGGTGTAAAAAATAGCCGCTGATTGTCAAATGTTATAAGAATTGTCAGGGAAAAAATGTCACACAAGAAATTTCATGGCAAATTAGGAATCTAGCGATACAAACGAGTAAATAACAAATTTTTTACAGAAAATAAGGAACATAGAAATAAGATTAAATAAGATTAAAAAACAGGTATGGAAATAATAATCAAAAGTTTGAAAAAGGAAAAGTCTTGCAGTGGGTTTTGTGTATCCGTATGTTGTGCCGTTCGGTGAAAAAACATATACGAGACAATGCATTCAAGGTAATGTCGAAAAACGGAGTCGCGTTTCACGTTCGTCTTGCTCATTTAACGCCGTAGATATGCCAGATCGATTACATTATCGTTGTCCAAGTCATAGCATATTGCCGGCCATGTACAGCGAGCGCGTTTTCCTCTCGACTACGTTAGAATCGCGCCATATTCGACGATGTTAATGTCTCTCGCTCGCTATTGCGATGATCACCAATCAGGTGTGATCCTTTTTACGCGGATATCGATATAAATTATGTTCCCGCGGTGACAGGCCTCCCGACGACTAGAGAAAACTGCGTTAATTTTACCTCGCGAGAACAAAATTCATTGTACTTTTTCACGCAAAAAGATGCCGAAGGAGATTCTGTCCGCATTACAAATAAAGATAATCGTGAAAAATATTTAGTAAAAAGAGAAGTTTCGTGACTCGGTGTATTCCAATTAATTTCTCGACACGAACGTACGAGGGAAGGAGAGGGCGGGAGGAGGGGATAAAATCTCAAGATACTCGACAAACGTTCATTCTCACAAAAAAAATATTCGCAAACTATTCTCAGAATATTCTCATTTCCCAAGGATGATCCCCTCATTATGACGCGGATTGTGACGCGGGTTGGGCCATCGTAGCCACGACTCCGATGACTCTTTTTCTTTCTCGCGAAAGCCTCCATTGAAAAACAACAAGATAAGCAAACGTCGGGGGCATTGGCGACACTTTCGGCAACGTTTCTTTCCGCCGGGTGTGGAATAAATATTATTGAGAAAACAATTAGCGGTGCCGATTGGTTGCGCGTAATCAAATGTCGCGACATTAGCGCTAATCTTTGTAATGGCACCGAAACGACTTGGCAAACAAGGTAATAAACTGTCTTTAATTAGCAGCGTTTAATATCAATAGCGGCGGGCTACGTCGCTTTATCGTCGCGCGAATTAACAATGGCCGCCGTTCGCGGGATGCGTCTAATTATTGCGCAGTATCGCGAAGAGGAAAGGGAGACGCGTAAACGAGATCCCTGAGAAAAATGAGCGCGCGTCTCCTCCGGAGCGGCGGACGGAACGCACAATATTTCATATGCCGCTCGCTTTCCGTGCAGCCGTCGCGCGCTTTGACGTCGCACGCCAGCCGACGTGCGCGATCAGGATGTTGCGTAAGGCCCACGAGACGAAACGGCGACATGAGTGACAAACGAGAGACTTCCAGCCTGTCACAAACGTGTCCTTCCGAAAAACGTGCGCGCTTCCGGCGGCGACAATGGCATCGCGCCAGAACAACAAGATGCGCTCGTGTGCGTCCGCGAACTTCTCAAAATGCCAAGCGATTATTATTATTATTACGTCGGTTTCCGACTGGCGGCATAACTCGAGGCTGGCAGTTTTTGCTTGGCCTACCTTGTAGCTAGTTACGCGTATAACTCGGACTTCTCATCGAAGGAAAATACAGGGAAACTAACTAACTTGGGGCATTAAGAGTAAAAAATTCAACGATGATATATTATAAGGGGATAATTTATCTTCTATTTTATGAATAAAACACATAATTATACAGACTCGGAATCGAAACGTCAGTCGGAGCGATGGTGAAGCCGCAGAAAATATAATATGTCCGCAATGTGAAAATCAGGGAAAGTGAATGTGTCCGTAAAACGAGCCGGCAACTTGCCTAATACTCGCGCCAGTAACTACCGTCTCCCGCGGGCTGCAGCCGAAATAAGCACCGGCGGCGTTACCTCGCATTGGCACGCAACAAGTTTGCAATTTAGCTTCGTACGGTTTGTTGTACGGCTCATAAAACTTACTAGCTCCTTTCGTCTCTCTTTCTCTTTCGTCGTACGACGTATTAATTAAATGCAAGAGCACTTTCCTCGACGAAAACACACTCTTTACGCGAGATCAACATCGAGAACGGATAGGTCGCGTGAATTTTTTCGTGACCCACGAAAGATACTTTCGCCGTTGCACGAGACGAGTGCAACAAGAACTAACAAGAGCTAACTAATCCGTGACAGATTCTGAGCACGATTCTCGGATCTGAGATGATCTCGTTCACCCACACACGTAGCTCTCACTTTCGCAAAGGAACATCGCTCGGTCTGCTCACCTGGTGGCGTGATACCGTGCGGATTGAGATGCGGATGATGATGCGCACCGGTGAGTATCCCCTTGCTCTGGAGATGATGCGCTGCTGCCGTTGGTCCTGGCGAGCTGGTGGGTGGCAGATGTGCCGCCGGATTGTAGAAACCCGCCGCCGCTAGGGCGGCAGCGCTGAAATAACTGGCAGCCGCCACCGCTGAAGACGGGTGTGACAAGTCGCGTTGGCCGCTCGCGGGTAAGGGCGGCGGTGTTTCCGGCGCCGCGGCCGGGCTACCAGGTCCACCGGGCGGCGGAGAAGCGCTACCCTGCGACGACGAGCCGCCCAGAATACCAGGCGGATGGGTGCTCGCCGCGGTCAGCAGCGAGGAGACGCTAAAGTCCGTCGGTCGCGGTGCCGCCGGTGCCGGCAGGTGTCCGGTGCCGGCACCGATGTGGCCGTTCGGGTTGCTGGCGGGCGGCGTGCCGCCGGCGATCGAGCTTGCGAAGGGCGAGTGCTGATTTAGAGCCGTCGCTGACGCGGGGTACGCCATCCCAGGCCCCCCCGCCTCGGCCCGCGGCCCCGTGTTTGCACCTTCGACCACGTTAGCCTCCAATTCTATGCCAAGTCTACGTCGTTGACCGTCGACGTCTTTCGCGGAGGAGTCCTCCTCCTCCTCCACCACCACCTCCTCCTCAGGCCGTGATCGTTGCTGCAGCGCGGAGGGTTGCGGAGTGCTGGCGCAGTGGGTACCCCTGCACGCCGTATCTTGTTCGAATCTCATCGAGACGGGCGAGTGTGCCGAGTCGCGCGAGATTCCTCTTCGAGTGACTCAAACTTGCTTCGGGTGTTGCTCGCGCGCGCGATCCTCCTCGGTCTCGCTCTCGTCTCACGACACGAATTGCTCGCGCGAGAGCGGTTCAAGAGAGCCGCCGTTCAACGAGGAGCCGTCGGACGGACGTTGCTCTTCCCCGCGGATGTGTCTAGCCTGTACGATCAACGATCGCGCTTGTTCCTCCACATGTTCCGAGGACACACGTGTTTTCGAGAGAAGACCGCACGCTCGCGCTCAAGACTGTGGACCACCGTCCTCGGAACGCCCGCGTTCTTTCGCGCGAATTTCCGGCTGCGGGAAATCGCCGACGATAGTCTCGCTGGATGTCGCGTACAGCTGCCTAGTCGACATCTTACAACGCGGACAGTAACTCGATCCTGCCGGCAGGATTGGTCCGACGTTTTCAACGGCAATCCTTCACTGTTACGCGCGAAGTGCGATTCAACGAGGTGTCACTCACGAGATATACGAGAGGTTATAAAAGCGAGAGCGAGTCGTTGGCTTACGGGGCACCGAGATGGAGTGGAGTACACTGGTACTCTGAAATCGTGGAGGAACTCGTGAAGCACTCGCGAGCAGACGTCTACGGTGACGCCGCGTGGTAGATCTTCAGTATAAGAGTCACTTCCATGTCGAAACACTAGCCGCGAGTCACTCTAAGCCATAGCGCAAATCTGCTGTTCACTAATCACTGACTTGTCACTGACTCGCGTTCGCAGTTTTCTGTCTTCGCTGTCTTCTCTCCTCGTTTCCCGTCTCTCTTTTTCCTCGTTCCTCTCCAATGCTCTGAAACACGACACTACGTTCACGACGGTCGCTGATCGTCCGACGGGTTTAAAGGCCACGAGTCTTCACGAGAGGATAGTTGAACCGTCAGTTGAAACGTCACGCGCGCCGGTCGACACGCGTATCCGACGTGAAGAGCGCAAGTCGACGACAGCAACAACGACAACGACGACAACGACAACGACGACAACAATGTGGCAATGATGGCAAATAGAAAGGAGTAAGTTTATCTCCTCTCGGTGAGACTTCTCGGTGATGAGACGATGATCGGTCGGGGCTGAAGAGCGGACGAAAGGTGTTACTTGGGTGGCGCCGCGATGGTCACTGAGCAGCGCTAGGATTGACACCTACTCTGGGGGCTCACCCCCACACCTCCCGCGGAGGTGTTGGTGTGCTAAAGTCCCCGTCCGGATTCAGGGCGGTGTATACGCGGCACGGCCGCGTGTGTATATGGGTGGTCCGCGGGTTCGTGTGCGTGCGTTACGTGCGTGTATATAGACCGCGGTGTGCCTGCGCCGCGGAACGGACGCGGGAGGCGTGAATGCTGGAGGGCAGCGACGCGAAGACTGAGACCGTGCGGGGGCTCCTCCTCCCTTCCCCTGTGACCATCGTGGCTCGGGAGTGGGGGACCGGTCTTCCCCAACTATCGGCATCAGCGGCAGGCGGCAGCCGCAAGAGTGACGAAGACAGAGACGCGAACTGGCGAAACGCGAAGCATCGAGAAGGTGGGGGCAGGGTGAATTTCGCGCGCGGCACCTTCTCCCTACCATCGCCGGTCGGGCGATAATGAGCGCTCGTAGTCCGGATTGGCGTTCCGGCGCCAATCCGAGCGGCGTTGGACTCGACGCCTTTTCCGACGCTACTCGAGCCAACGGCCGTCTCGCTCGCGCTTTCACGCGTACTCTCCTTGTCTCCTCTCCTGTCGGACTTATCCCCTCCGTTCCGTGTCACACACACTCGTTCGTGACGCTCTCCGTTCGTCGTTGTGAACTCGATGTGTGTCCCCACCACGGTGGTTCTAAGGGTGTTAACCGCGAGTACGCCCATTAACACCACCCTGCGTCACTGCCTTCCAACGAGGGCGGGGGCACGAGTTACGGAGGAGGGGGCGCGCGACCGACGTCGCGAGTGTCGTTAGTGAAGCTTGCTCGAATCTTGGCCGACTGAACGTTAATGCTATCGCATTTGACGCGAGAGAATTTTCGCGTCTGGGTTGCCACGTTGGTCGACACCTCCGTTTGGCGAATCAGAGAAAAATGTTATTGCTCGTTTTGCAATTTCAATTAATTGCAACGATTAAAAATTTTTCAAGATGTAATCGCACAGTTATAAAGCGCACAATTTAGTGATAATTATTTAGTGATAATTCCAATATAATCAAGAGTAAGGGGAGGTAATTCCTCATAAAAGACAAATAAAAAATTTATTTACAACGATGAATCACTCAACCTACTCAACGTACAATCCACTCGTAACTTTTATTATTTGAATATTTTTATCAGGCCTTGCTAATTATCTATATTGTTCAAATAATCGAGAAATTTGTTTAAATATAAAAATATTTATCATAACAAGATAAACATTTCATATTATTTATTTAAGCTTATAATTGTATATTTATTTTTTTGTCGAAATTTAATCTAAATACACTAAATATCATTTAACTAATAAGATAAAAATATCAAAATTTACGTATTATGAATAAGCGTATTATGAATCTCAATATCTAGACAATATGCACGCGTAGCAAGTATCTGTGTACTACTAACACATTTTATAATTTAAGTACGTACTCGCGGATATTCAAAGTGTATCATTAAGTGTATCATCTCTAACTTTAACTATCATTAAATAAAGTTCTAACTCAATAGCAAAGAGTCTATCTTCAATTAATAATGTAGTATAGTGTAATGTTACAGTATTTTACACAATAATACATTTACTACATTTTCTGACTGTTTGTTGTATTTTACAATTTTCGAGTCGAAGAATCTAGAGTAAAGATTCTTGTACGAGCAAACTAGAATACAGGAAATCACTAACTCATCCGCGTGAAATCAAGTTTGGCGATGTTTCATCCGAAAAAAATATATCCTTCCATTGCACGCGCGCGCGCACGTGTGATGAATATACTTTATCATCACTGTAATGCAATACAATTGGCCATGTCGAGAATTTACCAAGTTTTCCGCGAAATACCGCGAGTGAGAAGTTTTCGAGAGCCGTGCCAAAATTCGCACGGTACAGCGTCACGAGTCTCACCCTGCGTCGTGCCATCTTTCTCACTCGTATTTAGACGCACCGTCTCTCGTTCTAGCGTGGTGGTAGCGGCAACGGAGATGAAACTTGTAGCCACACCCCTTATACCCCTACCGTTGTCACGATCGTCCCCTCTCCATTGTATCACGTGACCCATCCGTTCCCCTCTTGCGCGTTCACCGTCTCTATCGTCGGCTGTACTCCCCTGTCTCGTCTCTCACGGGTGCCGCCCTTCACCCTTTCCTCCCGAGCGAAACCTCTCCCGCTTTTTCTCTGTCGTGAAACGCTCGACGCTCGTCCTTCGCGCCGCGGAGTGTTGCTGAGACGCCCAGAGCATCACAGTGTTGCCAAATCCGCGAGAGCTTTTCTACCCGCACGGACTGGAATTATATATCCAGAATCACATTATTCGGGAGCGTCGTAAAGAGTGACCGTCACGCTGAAACCGTTGATTGAAGTTGTTCTTTTGTTGGCCCAGAGCGAAATTCAGTCTGCGAGCCATGATCCGGTTTAATCGTAATTATATAGGGAGAGAGAAACGCGGGAGGATTAAACGTCTGGAACAAAGAGGCGGATCATGTTGCTTCATTATTTATTGCTTCTGCGGTGAATTATTGGCAACGTGCACCTTTCCGTTGCACTTCTTGTAAACTCAATTCTTCTGATTTACGTCACAAGAGAAAAATAATATATAATAGTGCTTGAAAATTTTTCTTCGGTTATTTCAAGTTTCATATAGATGCACACATATCGAAATAACGGCTTGAATATAATTTGAATATATTAAAACAAATTATATATTATTACATAATGCATTTATAATAATTAATTTTTAAGATATAATATATATATATATATACATATATATATGTAATACAAATAAATTTTCGAAATTAGTGATGATAAAATTAGAAATAATAACTATACAAATCTGCTTGATATTTTATTGATTCAAATAAATTATATCAAGTGTAAAGAATTTTTTAAGTTATGGAAGTTTAATTTAGTTTAATCAAAATTTAAGTCTTTATATTTTATTTATATTTTTAGAATAGAAAATTAGATTAGTTAAATTATTTATGTAATAATCAGTATAGCATGCATATTTGACTATTTTCATAAGATTTTACCTTATGTTAGTTTTTCTTAGATTCTGGATTACAACTGGACAGTCCTCAGGGACAGCCCATTCCACACTTTTCGTTCTTTCTTTCCTTGAGCGATTTGAAGAAAATGTACCGACGGCGATCAATGCTACTATATGTTAGCTATCCGATAGAGGCAGTGAACGTAAAGGAAAAGAAATAAAGGAAAAAACATAAAGCAGAAGGCGAGAGAAAGAGCGTCTGAAAATCCTACGGGTGCACATATATTGCAGGAAACCCACAGAAAGAGAACGAGCTTAGTCGCCTCTTCGCGTGTCCGAGACGACGTGATAGCGAGCGGCTGAGGCAAGAGCAAAGTTTGTCCTCGTACGGCAGGGAGAAGATAGCGATGCAAGATGAAAAGAAAGAGACGGAGAGAAAGAAAGAGGAAAAAAATCCAGCCACCGAGCTCTGTCGTACGCAGGAGGAACGTCAGGGGGACAACGTCAGATGGAAGGAGAGCGACGACGCGGGCGAGAGAAAGAGAGAGGTGGTCATAA